CATTAAGTAAAAACGCGGGTTACTCACGTGAATATACTGAGAAAAGCTCTACTAGTTTCGAACCACAGAGGGGTTCTTCCTCATGAGCAGCGTGCGCGGTCGCGGCGACGTCGCGCAGCTCACTGGCTGGCGTTGGCGCTCGTCTCGGTGTTGCCACCTGCGCTGCGAGCCCAACGCGCCCTCTGTCGGACACTACGAGCGTTTGCTTCCAACTCCGGCAGCGCGTTGGACGAAGCTAAAGCGCACGGTACGTTCACCAGCGGCGCGGGTCGTGGGTTCGATTCCGGGTTCGGCACAAAGTCAGTGTTGCATATAACGCTTACTGTGTCACACTCCAGACTGGAGACGCTGTGGATCGACGAAGACTCCAAGCTCGGCTTCCACGCGGGTGGCAGTGCCCAGCCACCATCCCTGTTGAAGCACGGTCGTCGGCTGATCTCGATGGCCTCTCGCACTTTTCGCGGAACGAAGTATTTTTCTCTCGCTAGTACGGAGACCTTATCAAAACGTATGAAGTGAGCCGCGTCCGTACCACAAACATGTTCAGCCACTGCCGATGCCTGGATGTCCATCTTCTTCACGCTGCGTATATGTTCCTTTAGCCTGGTTGTGATGTTGCGACGAGTTTCCCCGATGTAACTCGAGCCACAGTCGCACGGTATTATGTACACTCCGGGTACAGCCAGTGGATCCTTATCTTTAGGTGAGCGTAGTAGTTGTCTTAGCTGACCGGGTGGGCGGAAGATCGTCCTGATGCAGTATTTACGGCGAAGCAGGTGTCCGATTCTGTCGGTTACTCCTTTCACGTATGGTAAGAACGCTGGAGTCCGTTCCGCAACTGCCGGTCGCTTCCTACTCGAGCTGCTCGCAAGTCGAGTACATTGACGCCAGTTGTATCCATTGTTTTCCAGTACCCGTTTTAAGTGGTGAAATTCGTCGTCAATATACTGGGGATCGCATAGACTCAGCGCCCGGTTTATCAAGGTCCGGGGAACAGCGGCTAGATGGGAGGGATGATGGTGTGAGTCAGCTCGCAAGTACCGGTCCGTGTGTGTCGGTTTACGATACACTGTGTGTGACAATCGACCATTTTCTTCTCGTCTTACGAGGACATCCAAGAACGGCAACATCCCTTCTCTCTCTTCTTCAGTGGTGAATTGTATACTGCCGTGCACCGAGTTCAAGTGTCCCACAAATTCAGCCACATGTTCCCGGTTGACGATCGCGAACACGTCATCAACATACCTCCACCAATGTCGCGGTCGTACCGGGGCGGATGCCAAGGCCTGACCCTCAAACCACTCCATGTAGATGTTAGCCACCACCGG